TTGTAGCCATTTTTTATTTTTCTGTGCCTGTGTTCCTTCTTCCCTTTTTTCCCCTTCTTTTTACACCAGTCCCTTTAGCATTTCTTGCAATGCTGGCTTGGTAGTGATAAACTCCCTTAGTTTTTTTTTGTCTGTGAAGCTCCTTATTTCCCCTTTAATTTTGAATGATAGCCTTACTGGATAGAGTATTCTTGGATTCAGTCCCTTGTTTTGCATTACATTGTAAACTTCCTTCCATTCCTTTCTGGCCTGATGTGTTTCTGTTGAGAAATCATTTGATAATCTAATGAGAGATCCCTTGTATGTAACTTTCTGTCTCTCTGTCTTACAGCCTTTAAGATTCTCTCTTTGTCCTGAACATTTGCCATAGTAATTACGATGTGTCTTTGTGGAGGTCTTTTGGGTTCATCTTGTTTGGGACTATCTGTGCTCGTGTGACTCTTTTCTTCCCCAAATCAGGGAAATTTTCTGATATTATTTCTTCAAATAGGTTTTCTAACCCTTGTTCTTCTTGTTGTCCTTCTGGCCCCCCTGTTATTCGTATGTTGCTTCATTTCATGTTGTCCCAAAGCTCCGTTAGGCTCGCCTCCTGTCTTTTAATTATTTTTCTCCAATTGCAATTCAGTTTGAGTGTGTTTTGCTTCCCTGTCTTCTAATTCACTAATTCAGTCCTCTTCTTCTCCTAATCTACTTTTGAGACTTTCCATAGTGTTTTTTTATTGTAGCTACATCACCCTTTATTTCCTCTTGATTCTTACACAAGTTGTTGATTTTTTCATGCATCCAGTTTATGAACTGTATGGCCCTTATTCCGAATTCTTTTTCTGACATATTGCATGCCTCTGTTTCACTTAGCTCCTTTTCTGGTGATACCTCCTTTTTTCTTTTGGGGGTTTCTTTGTCTCCCAATTTTTTCTCTCACCGAAGGATCTAGGTATCAAGTCATGGCAGCAGCTGCTCCTCAGTTGGTGGCGGCTCCTCAGGTGAGTGCTGCTCATGCAGCTTCTCCCAGCAGTGGTGGCTCCTCCGACTGGGGGCGGGCTGCTCACATGCCTGCTGTCCTCAGACGTGGGCAGGCTGCTCACATGGCTGCTGCTCCTCAGACAGGGGCAGGCTATGCGCGGCTCCTGTTCCTCAAACAGGGAAGACTGCATGCGGCTGCTCACGTGGCTGCTGCTTCTCGGATGGTGATGAGCTGCCCGAGGGGCTGCTGCTCCTTGTACAGCAGTGGGCTGCTTGGATGGCTGCTGTTCCTCAGATGGGGATGGGCTGCTTGCGAGGCTGCTGCTCCTCCTGCAGAGATGGGCTGCATTGTCATGTCCTGGTGCTGACCATGAGAAGGACACTTCCATTCCTCCTAGGGAGCTGCTTGAGTATCATGATGACATGATGGCTCAATTCCCCCAGCATGAGCAATCTGGACTCTGGTAGAGGAAAGGTGACTCTGGCATAGAGAACCATAAAGAGCAGATCTGGGTGGCATGGTTCTGAGGAGAGATCTGGAGGGTTCATCATCATCCTTGCTATTGTTTTTAGTGCTCTGTAATTGTGTAGATTATATTGAGATGGACCCTAGTTTTTAAGAGAAAACTGTAAAATTATTTTAGGACAATTAGAGACATTTAAATATGAACTGGACATTTGATGCCTTAATTAATTTGTGTGATTATGGTATTGTAAATATGCCAGACAATGTCTTACTCTGAGGAGACTCCAGCCTCCCTTGCTGCAGGCTCCTGTTAGTTCCGAGTGTGCTCCACTCCCCTGCTGGTCTGCTGCTTTGGCACTGAGGCCCACACATCCTGGCACCTGGGCTTTCTCATGAGTCTAGGGGTGCATGATGCTGCCACTAATCTGCCACCACAAACACAGGCTCCCTCTGTCACAGCACCTGGACTCTCTGGTATCTCTCGGGGCATATGACCCTGCCGCCAAGCCCTCTACTTCAGCCACAGGCACCACACAACTTGGTGCCTGGACCCTTCAGTGATAACAAAAGTGGGGAAACAAAGAAACAACTCCCAAAGGAAAGAAAAGGCGGAATCGCCAGAAAAGGCACTAAGTGAAACGAAGGCATGCAATATGTCAGGAAAATAATTCAGGTAAATGGTCATACAGTTCATAAATCGGATGGATGAGAAAATCAACAACTTGTGTAAGGATCAAGACGAAATCAAAAATAATATAGCTACAATAAAAAACACAATGGAAGGTTTCACAAGACAATAGAGGAAGTGGAGGACCGAATTAGTGAGTTAGAAGATAGGGCAGAAAAACCCACCCAATCTAAACAGCAATTGGAGAAAAAAATTAGAAAGCAGGAGAAGAGCCCAAGAGAGCTTTGGGACAACATGAAACGAAGTAACATACATATAACAGGGGTGCCAGAAGGACAACAAGAGGAACAAGGGTTAGAAAACCTATTTGAAGAAATAATATCAGAAAACTTCCCTGATTTGGGGTAGAAAAAGACACACAAGCACAGAGTCCCAAACAAGATGGACCCAAAAAGACTCACACAAAGACACATCTTAATTACAATAGAAAACATTAATGACAAAGAGAGAATCTTAAAGGCTACAGGACAGAGACAGAGAGTTACCTACAAAGGGTCTCCCATTACATTATCAAATGACTTCTCAACAGAAACACATCAGGCCAGAAAGGAATGGAAGGAAGTTTACAATGGTAATGCAAACCAAGGGACTGAATCCAAGAATACTCTATCCAGCAAGGCTATCATTCAAAATTAAAGGGGAAATAAGGAGCTTTGCAGACAAAAAGAAAAGGCTTAGGGCATTTATTACCACCAAGCCAGCAAGGCAAGAAATGCTAAAGGGACTGTTGTAAAAAGAAAAAATAGAAAGAAAAGAAGGAACATGGGCATAAAGAATTAAAATGGTACAAAAAAAGTACCTATCAATAATAACCTTAAACGTAATGGACTAGATGCTCCAAACAAGACATAGAGTGGCTGAATGGCTAAGAAAAACATGACCCATATATATGCTGTCTACAAGAGTCCCACTCAGAACAAGGGACTCACACTGAATGAAAGTGAAGAAATGGAAAAATATTTTTCAGGCAAATGGAAATGAAAAAAAAAAAGCTGGGGTAGCCATACTTACATCTGACAAAATAGGCCTCAAATTGAAGGC